CCTTTCCCTCCTCGTAGTCTAGTCTATTCCCCTTTGCCTCCGGGCCTCCGCGTGGAAATTTCCACCGGGCTTCCGGCGTCCAGGACTCCACGCCGGGCCCCAGGTGGCCGAATCAACCATAGCTCCACTGGGATCGTTTCCTTCAATAAAAAAAAGTACTCGGCTGCTGGGTAAGCCAGCCGTTCGGACTGTGGCGGCTGCCAGCGCAGCTGAACACGCCCAGCCAACAATGCTGTTTTAGCTCTTTGACAGGTAGGGCCCGCGCCCGTGCTGACTAGGCAGGGGAGGCAGGGCCCGCGCCCGTCGGCAGGGGAGGCAGGGCCCGCGCCCGTGCTGACAGGCAGGGCCCGCGCCCGTGCTGACTAGGCAGGGGAGGCAGGGCCCGCGCCCGTGTCCCGCACGCCTGAACCAACCGTTTACGGGCCGAAGGCCAGCTATAAATCCCACAGACCACCACCATGGCACCATCGTCCTCCACTCCACTTCACCAGCCAGCAGCCGCTGCACTTGTCTCCCGCCGCACCCAGCTCCCGCTGCACACCGCGCAGCTCAGCCCCCACAGGCCCACTTCCGAAGCCAAGATGGGTCCTCTCGACGTCGAGGCCGGCGGCAACACCATCATCAGCGCCGACGCGGTCGTCACCGCGGCCGACATGGTGGAGGCAACCCACGACGTGGCGAAGCTGCGGCGGGTCCTGGTGGGCGGCGGCGTTGGTAAGGCCGCGGCGGCGCTGTACCTGATCCTGTTCAGGGCCCCGGCGGGGCTGTTCCTCCTGTCCGGGCCGTTGTTCCGCGCCTACTACTGCGTCTTGGCTGCCATTGTCCTAGTCGGGGTGGGGAGGCGTGGACGGGGCTCTGGCTCTCCCACGACGACGACGACGACGACCCTGCTCCTCTGCCACGCCGGCGCGCGGTGGGCGTGGCGGTGCTCTGGGCGTCGCTCCTGCCGCTGGTCCTACTGGCCGCGGTCGGAGGGTTCGCGGTCTTGAAGTGACAATATTGCAAGTTTGCAACGTACACTGCCTGTATATGTCGATATATGTTACTGAATACTGGAGTATGTACGGATTACCATGTAATTGCCGCATCGGCATCGTGACTACGAGAAATGTGCTTTATTTATATGTTGTGATTATATATAGCGAGCGTACAAACATGTTGACCATTTCAAATAAATTTGGTCTGTTACTTACATCGCCCGTGATCTTTGTATGAATTCAGAAATTCGAGAGGGAAGGGAACGAACGGGCTTTGTAGGGGATCAACTGGCCGATGAGATGGCGCTCTGGTGCCGGTGCAGACAGAGCGGCCCGGCATAAGATTTCCCCACTAGACTATCGAGTGTCATGGATCTGCATCGGCACAAACCCAATTCAGCCTCCCAGAGCTAAGCTTAAGTTGGTTCAACCCTTCCTCTGGTTCCGAGGTGGTACTAAGCCTGCCTCTCTAACGCCCCGGAAAGACGCTTCGCACAAAAAGTTCAAAGTTCAAACCAGAGTTACTAGTCTCCCAAAGCTAAGCTTTTAAGTTGGTTCGGCCCAGCCCACCATCAGACCGGCCCAGCTTTGGCCCATTAGCGGGGTCTCACAATGCCACTCCACATATTTGGTAGCAGTCTTTTGCCTCTACAGCTTGAGCTTTGCCGTGGTGCAGCTGATGCTTAATGCTTTGTAGGACTAGGAGTATTGCTCTGTTCTAAGCCCGGTATCCCAGCTTTTGTACTGAACTTTGTTACTCGTATCTCTTTTCACGAAAGCCGGGCAACCTATTGTGAATAAAAATACCACTGTAACAAATAAATACGGAAGTTTAAATTGACGTAGGTGTACGTAAACTGCCGTGACATTTTTTGTGGAAGAAAAATGCCAGTGCAGCTAGTATGATTTTTCCCTCCGTATACTGTGGCTCTGTCAGTTTTTATTTCGAGAGATTGTCCTAAACTATACCAAAAGAAAAGGTTAATCTTGAGCCCGATGAATCAACCCACGCAGAAAGCAGAGTAATCTATGCTGAGCGCCCGGGCCGTCGCTTTCCGCTCAAATTTATGTTCCTCCCTCCCGTCGTTATTAACTGCTAAATATTGTTTTCTTCGTCAACACCCACCTTTGCGACTACACCAGCGGGCTCGGGCTCGCCCGCTCTGGTTCGGGCCCCTAAGCAGAAAGTCGTCCTCTCTCCTCTGCTACACGCTCGGGCCTCGGGCCGTCGGGCGGGCGGGGCCGGCTACGCCTTCCTGCCTGCCTCTGCCTGGCTCGTGAGTGCCCGTCGGCTCGGGCCTCGGGCGGGCGGTGCTCCCTATATATAAGTGGAAGCATTCAAAGCACGTCGTCTTCCACAATCCACACTGCCACATCGATCAGAGCAGCCCGAGAGCACGAGCCGTACGTGCCAGTGAGCGACCACTCGATCAGAGACACTCCGAAGTTCAGCTTCCCGGCACCGGCACCCGACGACCCATGGACTCGTTCTGCGTCCACATGCCCGCCACGGCGCCGGCGGAGGTGGCGGCGCAGCTGGCGGACGCCGCGGCGGCCGGGCACGACGACGAGAAGCTCCGGCGGGCCCTGGTGGGCGGCGGCGCCGCCAAGGCCGTGGCCGCGCTCCTCCTCGCGCTCTCCTCCAGGTCCCTGCCGGCCGGCGGCGTGTTCCTCCGCGGCGGCACCGCGCTGCTCTGCGCCTACTACGCGGTTCTCGCCGCCGTCGCGCTCTTCGGGGGGCTCGAGGTGGCCATGGGGTTCTGGGTCGCGGGGGACCCGGACCGCCGCCGCGGCTGGGGCAGGCGGGTCATCTGGGTGTCCGTCGTTCCACTGGTCGTCGTCGCCGGATTCGGGGGTTTCGCCGTGCTGAAGTGAACTAGCTGCATGCTGTGCCTCTGCGCTTGGCTTTGCTTTGTCGTCAGTTTGATGAATGCACCTTTCGTTGCTTCCATGCTAAAGATTTTGAGTACAAATATAAGGTTTGCTTCGAAAATGGCCAAGGGGTTTACTAAATTGAATTCAGCAGCTCTTCACTGTACTGAGAACTGAGATGCATGCCAACACGGAATTTCATCAGGCCAGAAGGTTTTTTTTTTTCGAAAATGCGCTCTTGCGTTTGATTGACACCGTCTACGATAAGGCCCATTTTAATTACGGCCACGAGCCCACGATCCAAATTGGCCGAGACGCGGCAGTTTTGGGGGGACGTACTGCTGCAGGCCCTATTACTATTCGCCCCAGTTAAGTGGAAGATGTCGTCCACTTGGCCCATCTAAACTTAGGTATCCCACGATCTAAACTGGCCAAGGTTGCTGTCGAAGCACATGACGTGAGCAGCTATCAGCTATCTCGCCCACATGGAAGGGCCTGTTTTCTTCTCTCTTCGACGAGGCAAAGCGTTGGCGTATCGCTCGCCCCTGTCCAGTCCGACCAGCCGTCCACAGCTTCTTCGCTGCCGCGAGGTCCATGATCTTCGATCTTTGATCTTTGAGTACTATATATTTTTTTAGATAATAATCTTTGAGTACTATATACTACAGAACTCTTCGTTTTATTTGTTGATTTCGTCAATTCTTCGAATTAGTTTTTTTTTGGTGCCGCGTAACGAGCACGGAAAGAGCACGTTGGTGACGGCCTATCTTTTCGGTCCTATTTCCTCCTTTTCTCTCTTTTTTTTTGACTTGATTTCCTCCTTTTCTCTTGTACTCAAGTATTTATATATGGGCATATGGCCACATGCCATGCTAAAGAATCCATTTTTCTTTTAGCGAACGTGCGTGCCTGCCCTACGGGCCAGCTGCCCAGGGCCCGAAACAACACAGAAGACACAGACTCCACCAGCCATCGAATGGACACGGCCTGAAGAATACTCGCCCTGGCATCATTGGCATTGTATACTACAGTACTTAAGGCCCCGTTTGGCAGGGTTTCTCCAGCGGCTTCAGGAGCCGTTTGGAGCCGTTTTCTGCCAAACGGGGTAAAATGAAACGGCTCCACCGATGAAGCCCCTAAAAACGTGCTCTCACAGAGCTTTGGGGTGGGAAGGAGTCAAAAATAGTGGCTTCTCTCGGCTCCTCCTCCAGGCCCCTAAAAACATGCTCTCACAGGAAAGCCATTTTGCCAAACAGTTTACCAAAACCGCTTCAGCTCCACCGGTGGAGCTGTTCGTGGAGCTGAAGCCAAAAAAAAAATGACTTCACTAGTGAAGTGAAGCCCTGCCAAACGGTCACTGCTCACTAGTCACTGCTGACGCGCTGAGACCGAATCACACACGACCGGAAACCGTACCACTCGTGCGCGCGTCCTGCAGAGTCAAAAGCTTCCTCCCCGTTCCCCGGTACAAACCGTCGACACTAATGGCCGACCACCCACGCGTACGACGTGCCGTCCTGTCCTGCCGGGGCAGCGGATGTGAGAAGCAGAAGCATACGAAACGGAAGGCTCGCGAAGCCCTGCGAAGTCCGAACGGACCGACGTGCATGCCAACGCTTTCGCTCTCTGATACTGAAACATTTTTCTCGCCACCGCACGGGACGCACAGAGCACCGTCGAACGCATCGACGGACCGTGGTCGTGGATCGAAGCCGCAGACGACGGGAACCAAGCATCTGCGCCAGGATCCATGATTAGGCGTGGAAGACAACAAGCATCTGCCCTGACCCAGAGACACGGGCGCAAACCACTGAAGAGTCAGAGTTGGGTTCGCGTCCCGTGTGTGCGTTTAGGATTCATGATGATAACATTCATTCAAATGATCGTATCATATCTCAAACGAAAAGGTCGAAAAATTCAAAATTCGTTGTGATAAGCAGAGAAATGCACAATTGGGAACCACTAACATATTTACATTTTCTGTGATCGTAATTAGCAGTACCAAAAAAACTGAGAATACAAGAATACAAAACAACAGATTGAATCAGCAAATTAGCGCAACCGGCTGCACGCACGTTCGATCGATCAGCCAACACCACCTAAATCGAGGAATGAACAACAAACTGACCCGAGCTACAACGCGATCGGTTTTCATCTCACGCTGTCCCGCCAATCGCCGGCGGGGCGGGGCTTCCGGCTCCGCATCGCCTTGATCTTCCCTGGGATGAGCCTCCCCCACCGTGCCGCCTTATTAGGCGCCCCCTTGACCTCCGGGACTGCCGCCGCCGCCGCTGTCGTTGACACCGACCTCGACCTCGCCAATGCCACCGCGTCGTCGTACTCCTGCTCCACGTCCCTGCACCCCGCGGCCGCGGCTGGCGGTGGCGGCGGCTTCCGGAACGACACCCAGCCCCACACCCCGGACTTGGGCCGCCGCTGGTCGCCGCCGACGCCGACGGCTCCGTGCGCGGCGACGGAGCGCGAGCGCGCGACCCGGTGCTCCCGCTCAATGAGGCTGTGGACCCGGCCGAGCGCGCTGGCGCCGGAGGACGAGGAGGAAGGGGACGACGCGCAGGAAGGGGAGCAGGCGCAGGGCCGCGGGCAGGCGCAGTCGGGGCACAGGCGGAGGAGGCGGTCGCGGAGGCAGTGCGGGCACACGCCGCCGCCGGGCAGCGGCGGGTGCCTCCGGCAGCGCCACTCGTCCATCGCGGCTCGATCCGTTTTCCGTGCGGGTTTGGAGGGCAGTGCGTCCGCTCGCGATCGCGGGGAGGGAGGGAGACGCGCGGGAGGCAGAGGAGCCCGACTCTGTCGCTCTTATATTTAGTGACGGCACTCCGGCAGGAGGATTGGTGAAGGGGCATGGAGCTCGGCGCTACTATTTACGAGAGAGCCATCGTGTAGATGATGATGAACCTTCCGCCGCCCGCCGTGTGTTCAGGTTAGCACGGTGTGTGTGTCCCACTGTCGGGGAGTAACGGGCCTAACGGCACAGTTTTGCTTATTTTTTATCAAAAAGGCACAGTTTTGGTTACACGTAGGGTTCACCTTTTGGTTCGCATGTACTTTTGAATGCAACTCCACATTATCAGGGCATGTCAATGAGATCGAGCGCTAAGCAACGTGGTCAAAACGTGTTGGGTCTCCATTTGAAACCAGGTGCATAAAAGAACTTTTAATGAGTTTTCGAAAAGTTACCAGTGCCAGGCGATCCCAATGAAGAATGCACATTAGCGTAATAAGAATGCAAAACAGGGAAATAAAAAACACAGGAATAACTAAACAAAACGTAGAAAAAAACACATACTAAGAGTTTTAAACTTAAAGCGGCATCTGGACCTAAGGTCCAATTGTTGGTGAGGATAATATAAAAATAGTCATCAGTCCTCAAATTTATCTTAGTATGTCATTTTGGTCCTCGTACTCATAATTTGTGTCGTTTTGGCCCTTAAACTTGTCAGAGTTGTTTCACGCCGGTCTTCATACTATGAGATTGTATCTTTTCAACCCTCAGCCTATATTTAGGTCTCGTTAGTTATCAAAACGGGTCTAGGTCCATGTCCACGTACCAATGTGGCACGTTGAGTACGTGTTGTCATCGACCTGACTTGTGAGACCTAATAAGTCGGGGCTAAGTATACCTGGCCATGCAGCCGGAGGCCCGGCAGCCCGGCCCGAAGCCCGGCCTTTTGGCCCGACACGAGCACGGCCCGACACGCAGCGCACGGCCGTGCCTGGGACGGCAGTTGAGCCCGCGGGCTGGCACGGCCCGGCACGGGGTTTTGGAGGAGGCCCGGCAGCGGCCCGAGAGGGAGGCGGCCCAGCTCGCCAACGGCAACGGGCAACGGCTCCCCCCACGCCGCCACCCTAGACCCCACCTATAAAAGGCGGCCGATGCGGCGCCCCCCTCCCGGCCTTCCCTCAGTCCCGCACTCCCGCTCGTAACCTAACCCTAATCCCCAATTCCCCATTTGCCCATCCGCATCCCACCACCACCAGCTGCCGTGCCGCTCTCAAACGCAGTGGCCAGTGACGCCTCGCTGTCTCCGAAGCCGACTCCGGTGACCACGATCCGCCTCCCGCCGGCGTCCTCCCCTCCATCCCTGCCTCTCCCTTCTCCCTCTCCCTATCTCCCCTCTAGATCTCGTTGATTATGTGAGTTGGTTGTCTCTGTTTGTCCCTCCTCCGTCGTCCGCCGTCGTTGCTGACTGAGTGTCGTCTTCTCTGGACTCTGGGTGCTCGTCGTCTTCTCCGGCACCCGGCTCTGGCTACGCAGGTGAAACCCTAACCCTAACCCCTAACCATGTTCTAATTTCTTCTTTTTCTTTCAATGTATGCTTCTGATTTCTTCTTCTTCCATTGTTTCACAGGGTCGGTAGCCGATGCATCCTCTTCTAGCTGCGGCTTAGAGCAAGCAAGGCGGCCACCCGCACCGTCGAGGAATGAGGCTAGAGAGGCGGCCACGGCCGACGAGGATGGCCTCCTGCCGGTTGGCCTGGCCCCAGAGGGCGAGAACGACGACGACACTCGAGCCGACGCTGCTGCGTTGTTCGGTATCGATCTTGGGGACGGCTCTGCTGCTCCGATCGATGTGGACGCGGACGGTGGCGAAGGGGCGACGGCGACTACGAACTCCAACGGCTCTGCTCCTTCGGTTGCTGGTACAGGTAACACTAGTAAGCGCAAATCACCTGTGTGGGCTGATTTTGAGGAGATCTATGAGGTTATTAATGGTTCTTGTAACAGAACCGACCAATTATACGAAATTAAGTAAGAAAATCATCCGCCAGAGTAGACGATTTAGCAAACTTAAGCCCGTATAACCCGGCAGTCCGTGAAATCACGAAGGATTTCAAACCAATTCATATCCCAGCCAAGATCGTAATAAGTTTAGCGGTCACCATCACATATTACATAAAAGTTCGCATCTCAGATACATTAGAGTTTAAAACATAGTTATTACAAAACGAGTTGGAATAAAAGTAGCGGAAGCCATTTGTTTAAAACCACACACACTCACACGGAGTTCAATTACAGTGCCAGCTGATGATCATCTCCAACAAAAGCATTAGACGAGACGTACGAAATGACCATGCCCATGGTCCTAAGCATCACCCATCGCAGGATAAAGGCAGTTGATACAGTAGCCGTAATACATCTGCCCATTTGCAACAAGTGGGAATAAAACCCTGAGTATGAGAAGGTACTCAGCTAGACTTACCCGACATAACCGAAAATAAAGTGACACCAAGGATTATGAAGGGCTTTATAGTATGGTAGCTGACTCATTTGCAAAACGAAGCATTTTTAGCATTTCAAGAACCTTTCAAAAGCATTATTGTCAAGTTAATTATTTATAACCTGTCGACTAGATTTGCACCTACACTAGAGCAAACATGTGATTAAGCCAATAATGATAACCCATGATCATTAGCAACTTCCATATTGTCATATTCATTATAAATGTCCAAGTGTTTCATCAACATTACTACGATGAAGTCACTCAAGTCAAGTGCTCACTATCCAGGAGCGATGGCGATTCGAATCGATTCCTAACCAGCTGGTGATTTATTCCTTACACAAACCTCACTCACCCGCTAAAGTGAGGTATTGATCACCGAGTAAACTATCCAGGAGTCTCGAGTTTGCCAGGAACCACATGTACCCGGGGGCCGATCGACTGCACTTTGGTCTTATCATCTCGCTCCCGTGTCCTACCACACCTGCTCTGGCACAGTGCGCTGCGGGCAATCTACTCGGCCCGAATAATCTCCCAGCTTCGCGGTCGGAAGGTACTTTATCCAGCCAGCTAAATGTAAGGCATGCGTTCAACATGACTCGAGGCCCAACAACGGTCGGTCCTTAATCGACACAGACGGAAAGCACTACAGTTCAAAACTCTGTAAGTCTCCGTCCGGTCTCAACTTCATTTAACACTTAGTGATACCATGACTACGTAGTTATCCAAGCAGATCTAGGTAACCACCTATAGCTCGCAGGTGACAGGAAATCACCTGACTTCTACCGGTCTAAGCCAGCTAAGCATTGACTCGACTGCGGATACCAGGGTAACAAGGATATAGTATAACAAAGGTAGACAAGGTATAATGCAGCAACGGTTGCAAACAACTTCTAAACGTAATGCATCAATTAAAGTAAAGCAGTTAATTAATAATTGCAAACCGGGGAGAAAATGCTCCGGAGCTTGCCTCTCTCGAAGGAGCTTGGGCGGTGATCGGGGCACTCCGGAAGTTCCTCAACGTCCTCCTCGTCGACTTCGGGCACCTCCTGTGGCTGCACCTCGAGCTGCTCCTCGGGCTCCTTGGGTATGACGAATGGGTTCTCGGTTTGCGATCCTGTATGATGCAATGTGCGTAAGTGCTTATGCAATCAATGCATCGGATGAGATGAATACAATGGATATGCTTGAATGCAAGTTAGTCAACATCATCCAAAAACATATACTACAAGCACATGTCATCTACTGCCTTCTCTTCTACTACTAATATGCTAAGTCAACACATCTTATTAATTGCTTCAAAGATACACCAAAGCTTCACTAATTTCTTAATCACACATAAAGCAACACTTGATTAAACCCTAATTAATAATAATAGGTTTGAATAGCAACATGTATTTTTATTGCTTAGAAAAATCTTAGAAAATTACCATAGCACAGTACTACTCTAAGTAGTCTACCATCAGATTTTCATGGTATTTGAATGAGTGGATTAGCCTACACAAAAAAAAACAAGCTATGGCATGATTATGACCATGAAAATACTTTGTACTGTGAAAAGTGTCAAACAACAGAGAAAATATTTTTCCTATGTTCTACACAGCAAATAATCACTTTACAAAAATTATCACATGCATGTTTTAGAAAATTTTGCTCTCTAGCAAAATTAACAGAAATCAGCCATTAAAGGCATTTGAACTACACCTCATAATTTTTCTACAGCACATGCATGACACATATTTTTCCTAGAAAGTACATTACATAAGAAGATTAACAAACTTGGAATCATATTTTTCTGAAGCCTATAGGTTTTTCTACACATTTTTCAAGTTATCAGCAATATCAAGGATTAAATAAATCTCTACAGAAAAGTATCTCAACAATGACATGCAATATTTTTAACAGATAGATCTAGTCAGAAGAAACACAGCAAAATTTGTTTCATCCATTTTGGAGCACTATAACTCGAGATATACATTTTCCAAGCATTTTAATCAATTTTTGAAACCATTTTAGAAATCCCTTTCTTTAAAACAAAAATCCAGCGACCCAAATAGGCTAGGTACACCCGATGCAGTGCACCTAGAGAGGCTGCCACACGGGACCCGCGGTCAAGCCGGACCCACGCGTCAGCCGGAGCCGAAGCAGAGGTCGCCGTTGACCGACCGGCTCTCGCCGCCAGTGAGCTTGCTGGCGGTGAGGTCACCACCAACGACTTCCCCGCGTCGAGGCGGACCCGAGGTGCCAAGAGCGGCACTGGAGTAGCTCGGACGCGAGCTCGCCGGCGCACATGGCGACATGGCGGCGCGGCATACCCACGGGCGGGCACTCCTGGCCACAGCAAGCCACGGGGAGGCGCGCACAAGGGTCGCGGGGGCAAAGCGATGCTGATGCGTGAGAAAAGGAGGATAGAGGTGGAGCGAGTCGCCTGCGTGGGCACAAGCTCCGGCGAGCTCAGCCATGGCGGTGC